TAATACTGGGGATTTTGTTGTGTACCCGTAACGTTGTAGTAATCATGAAGACTTGAATAGCTTGTTCAGGTGTGTTTGATTAGGGTTAGAGCTAAACTCTGCAGGAAAGTGGAACTCGCTGAGGACTCGTTGAGGACCGCTGGATTAATACACTCACCTAAAGGATTATTAGGAACACCATACTAATACTGTGTTTGACCCCCTTTCGCCTTCAGAACTGCCTTAAAGGAGAACTCCGGCGCAAAATGAACCTTTGGTCTAATTACACATTGTTACCTAGTCAACCGTTATCTGAGATTTGTTTCATGATTATCGAATGTAAATAGTTTTATCTCTAAAAACAGTTTAGCCTATAAAGCTAGTATAACGTTAGTATATTGGGCATAGTGTAATGACAAATAAAAATCGCTTGTTAATACCACTAACAAGGCTGAAAATAGCCCCACACTAACACGGTAGCATAATGAGGGTCCCTACCTTCAAACCGAAGCATTGAGAACTTTGTCAGTGGCCATCCCTTGAAGAAATATCTTCTTATTAAACTGTCTGGACACTGACAAAGTTCTCAAACCGAAGCATTGAGAACTTTGTCAGTGTCCAGACAGTTTAATAAGAAGATATTTTAAACATACAGTCAACTTCGCGTATACAGGCAGAAGCCATCTTTGAAATACCGTCTTTACCAGTCGATCTACGAACGCCGATTCAAGTGCGCTGGTGAGATGTGAACGAGCTATGAGTTGTGATAAGGTGAGCGCGAACAGCAGGCTTGGATCGGCGTTCGTAGATCGACTGGTAAAGACGGTATTTCAAAGATGGCTTCTGCCTGTATACACGAAGTTGACTGTATGTTTAAAATATCTTCTTTTTCTTATTAACCCTTTAAGTGTCACCCCCCTTTTTTTGAATATACATGAAAATGCACATTTCGAACTTAAATGGTTGTAATTCAAGAATGCTTTGGAATATAGACGTAAGATTGGTCTTGTTTTAAAGAAGACATTTGGCAGATTCTTGTAGAAGTGAAATAAATTAAGAAAGTGAAACAGAAAAAAAGTTATAGAAGTTTGAGTTTATGAAAATGTACAATGTAAAATTTTTAATTATTCATATTTTATATAAAATATATATTTTCAAAACCTGGGCGACTCTAAAACTGCAAAAAAATCAAAGCCAAAAATCTGAACAAGTTGTGTTTCAAATTTTAGGTTGATATCTCAAAAAATGAGCTTTCAGTAAGATTTTGTTTGGGCGCAGTACCAAACTTTTTCACTAGATGACAACCAGACTCCATCACTGCCCATATAAGGGCCCCTCCATTTCCATATGTGTTTTGAGTGATATGAACCATTATTTCCACAATTTTCATACAATTTATGAAGTAGACATCCTATTCAGAAGTAATATGAGAAGTTTGGCAGATTTTGATATGATTTCAACCTCTAAGAAACATAAAAAGAACACGCATGTGCGTTTCAGCTTCCTGCCACATCATATAATTTTTTTCTTTATATATAAAAAAAAAATTCAGACCTTTTTTTTTTTAATAATTGAATGGATGCTATCTTTTGAACTCTTGGAATGAAAACAAACTGAGGTTTCTACCCTTCTTTCATGATTTTTCATGTTCATCACTATTTCAAAATAAAGGTCTAAGAGTATGAAAATATTATTGTTGCAAATTGATAAATTACGGCTCCTCTGTAATTTATTTTGAAAATCAATCACCAAATATGGAAACTAGAGATTGTAAGCTTTCAAATGATATATAGTTTGTCAAGATTAGTTTAGGTTTAGTATAGGATATTACTGTTTTAAAAATGTAAAGAATTTGGGCCCACCGGTGGGCCCGTGACACTTAAGGGGTTAAACTGTCTGGACACTAACAAAGTTCTCAATGCTTCGGTTTGAAGGTAGGGACCCTCATTATGCTACCGTGCTAGTGTGGGGCTATTTTGAGCCTTGTTAGTGGTATTAACAAGCGATTTTTATTTGTCATTACACTATGCCCAATATACTAGCGTTATACTAGCTTTATAGGCTAAACTGTTTGTAGAGATAAAACTATTTACATTCGATAATCATGAAAACAAATCTCAGATAACGGTTGACTAGGTAACAATGTGTAATTAGACCAAAGGTTCATTTTGCGCCGGAGTTCTCCTTTAATTCTACGTGGCATTGATTCAACAAGGTGCTGAAATCATTCTTTAGAAATGTTGGCCCATATTGATTGGATAGCATCTTGCAGTTGATGGAGATTTGTGGGATGCACATCCAGGGCACGAAGCTCCCGTTCCACCACATCCCAAAGATGCTCTATTGGGTTGAGATCTGGTGACTGTGGGGGCCATTTTAGTACAGTGAACTCATTGTCATGTTCAAGAAACCAGTTTGAAATGATTCGAGCTTTGTGACATGGTGCATTATCCTGCTGGAAGTAGCCATCAGAGGATGTACATGGTGGCCATAAAGGGATGGACATGGTCAGAAACAATGCTCAGGTAGGCCGTGGCATTTAAAAGATGCCCAATTGGCACTAAGGGGCCTAAAGTGTGCCAAGAAAACATCCCCGACAACATTACACCACCACCACCACCAGCCTGCACAGTGGTAACAAGGCATGATGGATCCATGTTCTCATTCTGTTTACGCCAAATTCTGACTCTACCATCTGAATGTCTCAACAGAAATTGAGACTCATCAGACCAGGCAACATTTTTCCAGTCTTCAACTGTCCAATTTTGGTGAGCTCTTGCAAATTGTAGCCTCTTTTTCCTATTTGTGCCTATTTGTTCCATAGGGACCTCGTTGTGCGTTTCCTTAAAGGGGCCAGGAGGCTGAACCCATCTCAACCCCCTTCTATACCGGCCTGGGACCTTTGCACGGTCCTCAGGGCCCTGAAGGGACCCTCTTTCGAGCCACTTCAGTCGGCTGACCTAAAGCCTCTTTCGCTGAAGACCGCACTCCTGCTAGCCCTAGCATCGGTCAAGCGAGTTGGTGATTTATAAGCACTCTCTGTGAGTGCTTCCTGCCTTGATTTCAGGCCCAACGACTCTAAAGTTGTCCTCAGGCCAAGACATGGCTATGTTCCTAAAGTGCTCTCGACTCCGTTCAGAGCTCAGGTCATTTCTCTATTAGCTCTTCCACCTTCGGAAAACGATGGAGATGTATCTCTACTCTGCCCTGTCAGGGCCCTTAGAGTCTATTTAGAGCATTCTGCCACATCCAGACAGTCAGAACACCTCTTCATATGCTTCGGCGGCCACACCAAAGGGCTTCCAGTCACCAAGCAGAGACTACTCAATGGATAGTAGATGCTATCACTTAGTCTACGCTTCTATGGGCCATCCTTGCCCTATTGGCATTAGAGCTCATTCCACAATAGTTATAGCCTCATCTTGGGCCTGGTCCAGTGGTATACCAATTGAAGACATTTGTGCAGCGGCCGGATGGTCCTTACCGTCCACAATTGTGAGATGCAGGCTCGAGTTCCTTCTTTATAAAGTCCTTGGCCTTGGGGGAGCCCAAGCCTTTAATTACCCCTCTGCTGGGCACGACATGGTCTCGCCCCATGGGGTTTTGACTTTAGCTCTACTATTTAACCTCGTTCTTCAAGCCCTAGGTTATAGTTTAAGGGACGAAGTGTTAAGCTGATAGCACTGCATTTTAGAAATGGGTTCCCATAGCGTATAGCTACGCACTACGAGAGACCTTCTCGAAAGTGAACGTAATGCTACTAACGTAACCTCAGTTCCCTAAGAGTAAGGGAACGAGTATTGCGTACCCTGCTGTGCGATTACATTTGGTACAGGTGCTTTCGCTTCAGTCGATTTTAACCTGACTCCTATGGCAAAATGGCCCGTTTTTATAACCAGTAGCCACGTCCATTCTGGCGGGCTCTGGCACGAAGCACCATAATTGGTTGAAAAGAGGCAATTCCTTATGTATTAAATATATTGTAATATATTAAACACAATATACGATTCTAAATATTTTTCTGAATATTTAAACCATTTAATATATTGATCATAAATACATTTATATTTTCTTTCGATAAGGGATATAATGAGAAAATATTTCTTAAGATGTTGTTATTGGTATATTTGAGAACTTGAGAATTTAAGAAAGTGAAAGTGTCATGACATGTACCTGGAATTTGTGCTCTTTATTTCACCCGTCTGTCACAAGCATGTTGAAGCAGGGAAGGATGCAGGATCTAATTTGCAGCAGTGTTTATTTAAACAAACTCAAAAACTCATAAACAGGATCAAAAGAAACATGAACAGAACAACCTACTAAAATGCAGCGACGACAGCCAAGAAACAGACTTAAGCACAGGGCTTAAATACTCAGAATAGATCAGGGAAACGAGACCCAACTGGGGCAAATTAACTAACGAGTAATTAACAAGACAACAGGTGAAAGGGATCAAATTAACCTAGAAACAGACAATCAAAGAAAGGAAACAGATTAAAAAAAGCAAACTCAAAACAAACAAACACTCAAAGTGACACCATCCAAGTGGACACACACACACACACACACTGGGAACACACACTCGGAACACAGCCAAGTGAGAGTGGAAGAGAGCGATGTTCATTCACTCTGATTTAAAACTATTTAAAACAAATACAAACAAATTAAGACCCAGTTTAATGAACATGAAAGATGATGCTGAACAGAATTTTTACAGATACAGTTTTTCATCCCAACAGCTCTGATTGTTTGATTGTGATTTTAACTTTTCCAGTTTATCAGATTCTCTTGATGAGACACAAATATTTCAATCACACATTTAATGTTTGTCGCTGAAGCCATTAAACCCTGCTAATAAAAATTAGTGTGGAACTAAAAACAGTGTCAGTGATCCGAGAAAAATGTCTGACGGGGTTTATCAATAGGACAAGTGTCATAATTCATAATAATCTGTGTATGGTTCACTCTTGATCATTATATGAACACCAGAATAAAAGCATCTATTGATTGTGTCTCATCAGCTCCTGTGATTCTGGATCCAAACACTGCAAATCCATTTCTCATCCTGTCTGATGATCTGACCAGTGTGAGATGGAGCGAGAACAAACAACCTCTTCCTGATAATCCAGAGAGATTTGACTGGTATCACTGTGTTCTGGGTTCAGAGGGTTTTAACTCAGGAACACACAGCTGGGATGTGGAGGTCAAAGAGAGTTCATACTGGTGTCTTGGAGTAACTACAGCATCAAACCAGAGGAAGAGACGTGTTTTCTTTAACACTGATGTCTGGTGTGGACGGTACGGACTGTCTGGGTCTGGTTTTCCTGTTGAACAGGATCTTGAGCGTGTGAGAGTTGATCTGGACTATGACAGAGGAACGGTGTCATTCTCTGATCCTGTAACTAACACACATCTACACACATTCACAACCACCTTCACTGACACACTCCTTCCATTCTTCTGTTGTTCTTCCTCTTTAAGGATCTTACCGGTCAAAAGTCAGTAAAAGTTTCACCTGTAGGTCTGGATTGAGTTTCTTTCATCTTTTACACTCATCATGTTTCCAATATTTGTATGTGTAAATCTTCTCAGAAATGCTCTTAAAGCGATTGTTCATTCAAAAATGAAAATTATTTTATCATTTACTCTCATGTTGATCCAATCTTGTATGAGTTTCTTTCTTCTGTTGAAGATAAAAAAATGTTTTTGCGTCTCCTCTCCTCTGGATGTTAGGAATAGATAGAGGAAAGAACAGGGCGTCGGGGGCGGGGAATTGTCCGGAAGGAGCAGAGGAACGTTAAGCAAACAGTCGCTTTGAGTGATGGGCGGCAGGAAGTGTGGGCGTCGGTCTCTCCTCTTTTGCTCCTCCCATTTACATACTGGCTCCGCCCTAAAGCCACACCCACCAGAGTCATTCCAGTGTTGTTCTGTGGTTTGCTCCCTCTTCCTGTCTGTTATTTCTAAACTCTGTATCCACTGGCTGAGCTCTGATGCTCGTCTCTGATTTTTACACGTTTATTTTAGATTTTTCGTGTCACCTTCGGCGTCTGTCCCCTCCAAACTTCTTTAAACAAGGACTCTTCCTTTTCAGTCCTAATTTCCACGTCCCTGCCGTAGGGTCCTCGCTGTAGTGTTTAGCCATCCTACATGATTTTTTTAATCCAAATCCAAATTATGGGTTTAGCCTGTTGTGCCATTTCATTGGTGTTACATATACACTATATTGGCAAAAGTATTGAGACACCCCTCCAAATTATTGAATTCAGGTGTGTTCCAATCACTTCCATGGCCACAGTTGTATAAAATCAAGTACCTAGGCATGAAGACTGCTTCTACAAACATTTGTGAAAGAAAGCTATCTGGGGCTCAGTGAATTCAAGCGTGGTATCTTGATGGGTTGGCACCTGTGTAAAAAGTCCATTCATGAAATCTCCTCACTACTAAATATTCCATGGTCAACTGTTAGTGGTATTATAACAAAGTGGAAGCAATTGGGAACAAAGCAACTCAGCCACGAAGTGGTAGACCACGTAAAATCACAGAGCGGGGTCAGCGCATGCTGAGGTGCACAATGCGCAGAAGTCGCCAACTTTCTGCAGAGTCAATAGCTACAGACCTCCAAACTTCATGTGCCCTTCAGATTAGCTCAAGAACAGTGTGAAGAGAGCTTCATGGGATGGGTTTCTGTGGCCGAGCAGCTTCATCCAAGCCTTACATCACCAAGTGCAATGCAAAGCGTCTGACGCAGTGGTGTAAAGCAGCCGCCACTGGACTCTAGAGCAGTGGAGACGTGATCTCTGGAGTGACGAATCACGCTTCTCTATCTGGCAATCCGATGGACGAATCTGTGTTTGGCGGTTGCCAGGAGAACAGGACTTGCCTGACTGCATTGTGCCAAGTGTAAAGTTGGTGGAGGGGGGATTATCATTTGGGGTTGTTTTTTCCGCGGTTGGGCTTGACCCCTTAGTTCCAGTGAAAGGAACTCTTAACTCTTCAGCATACAAAGACATTTTGGACAATTTTATGCTCCCAACTTTATGGGAACAGTTTGGGGATGGCCCCTTCCTGTTCCATTATGAATGCAAACCAGTGCACAAAGCAAGGTCCATAAAGGCATGGATGAGCGAGTTTGGTGTGGAGGAACTTGACTGTCCTGCACAGAGTCCTGAACTCAACCCGATAGAACACCTTTGGGATGAATTAGAGCGGAGACTGGCAGCCAGGCCTTCTCGTCCAACATCAGTGCTTGACCTTACAAATGCACTTCTAGAAGAATGGTAAAATATTCCCATAATCACACTCCTAAACCTTGATGAAAGCCTTCCCAGAAGAGTTGAAGCTGTTATAGCTGCAAAGGGTCGGTCAACTCCATATTAAACCCTACGGATAAAGAATGGGATGTCATTAAAGTTCATGTGCATGTAAAGGCAGACGTCCCCCAAACTTTTGGCAATATAGTGTATGTTCAGTTTGTTTTTGTTTTTACTGTGTTTTATCTCTGTTTTGCCTGCTTCTCTAGTTAGTTTCCTTGGTTGTTATTTAGCTCCACACACCTGTTTCCATTGAGCTGATTACCTTCCCCGTGTATTTGAGTCCTAGTTTCCTTTGTTTCATTGTCCAGTATCGTCTTATGTGGTTGTGTGTTAGTTTTCTCCTGCGATCTTCTTTATGTTCATTTGTGGAATAATAAAGATGTGTTTGTTTGGATTATCCTGCGTTGTGCCATTATTACAGCCACAGCGTGACAACTAAGTTAGTTTTAATATTTTTACTCAGGTATATAAATAACCCAGAAATGTTTGTTTTTTAGCCAGCATTTTTTAGTGATGTTTAAAGAAAAAGTGTGAAAAAAGAATAATAAAAACCAAGATGATTATAAATGATTTACACATTGATAAATAAACAAACATTATATAAAAATAAACATATAATTTTAAAAAACTAAATAAATAAGTACAGTGCTATAACAGTAAGATATGATGAATATATTTACCAAACAATATTCAGACATATTAATAATATGAATTTTTCACAGTATAAATTGGGTCTTTAAACACAAAACTAAATGTCTTTTAAATTGTAGGATGGGGGTCCGTCGCAAGAGAATAATCATGTTTGGCGTCCAAAAGATTGAAAACTCCTGTTAAACTGTCAGCAACATCCATAAACTATCATTAAAAAAATTACTGTGGTGTCCTCTGTCAACTTTATGATGATGTTGCTCAGCTGGGCAGCAACCTACTTGTGTGTGAAGAGAGTGAACAGCATAGGGCCAAGTACAGAGCCTTGAGGTGCGCCTCTGTTCATTACAAGGGGGCTGGAGGAGTGTTTTCTGATCATGTTGGGATCTGCCATGAGGAAGCTCAGTATCCCGTTACACAGTGCAGAAGGTTATGTGGCCCCAGGTTATGCAGCTTGGTTATTAGTTTTGAGGGCATGATAGTGTTAAATGCCAAACTGTAAACTATAAAAAAAAAAGTAATCGGGCATAACTTTCCTTAATTACTAAATGGGTTAGAATTCAGTAAATGGTAAATTAAATAGCATCCTATGTGGATGTATTTGTTCTGTAGACAACCTGTAGTGAGTCAAAGGATTCTGGTTTGGGGCTTCTGTTTCTTAATTAATCTTTCAAAACACTTCATGAGAACCGCAGCGGGTCGGCAGGCATTTAGACAAGAGACTTTCTGTGGAAAAGGGATGATAGTGGTGATTTTGGTGGACTTTAAGAAGAAAAGGGAACTAGTCAGTGTGAGGGGAAAGATTAAGCAAACAAACTCACATAATCAGAAACTCCAGGCCCTTACAACACTTACAAGGAAGAGACTGACTTCTTAATTCTCCTTTCTGTCACTAACTTTGTCTTGACAAAAGCAATAAAGAATCAGTGGTCAATAAAGAATGAGGAACAAAAACTTCTTCAGGATTTATGTTTGTTTCAGAACAGATAACAGATATTTGTGATTCTCATGGTTATTCATTTTTTAAAACGTTAATTTTGAGACCTTGACAGAAAATGGCTTCACTATCTGAAGACGATTTTTCTTGTCGCATGTGTAATGCAATTTTCAACGCTCCTGTTCTTCTCTCATGTAGTAACAGTTTCTGTAAAGAGTGTCTTCAACAGTTCTGGAGAACCAAGAACACTCAGGAGTGTCCTGTGTGCAGGAGAAGATCCTCAAGAGATGATCCTCCATGTAATCTTGTGCTAAAAACTTGTGTGAGTCGTTCTTGAAGGAGAGAAATGAGAGGCGTTCATCAGTGTCTGAGGAGATCTGCAGTTTACACAGTGAGAAACTCAAACTCTTCTGTCTGGAGGACAAACAGCCTGTGTGTTTAGTGTGCAGAGATTCACAGAAACACCTCAATCACACATTCAGACCCATCGGTGAATTGGTTTCATCATATAAGGTAACACGGATTTAAAGATGAGGATAAACACCTGTTTAAGCTTATGTATTAAATATAAGATCATATTAAAGAAATATCTGGTGTCTTACAGATTTTCTCTTTAAATTCCAGGAGGAGCTCAATACAGCACTGAAGTCCTTACAAGTGAAACTTCAACACAATAAAAACATTAAAGACAAGTTCACAAGAAAGAAAACCGTTCAACACATCAAGGTGCGGCTTGATTCTTTTGACATATTTACAAATTTGATTAGAACAACAGAATTGATTTGTCCGACATGTTCCGTTATTGACTGAAACACACACACACACACACACACACACACACACACACACACACACACACACACACACACACAAACACACACACAACCGTTTGTGTATAAAGATGATCTTTATCTCTCTGTCAGCTGGTTATTCAGCAGTGGGCGGGACTAATGTTCCAGCCCTAATCCCATTGGCTAGCGCTCACCTTCCACATTTTCATTTGATCAAATTAGTTTGGGTGAATTCATTGCTTCAATGAGCTCATTGTTTCCATACTAAATTATTACATTGTTTAAATTAATAAATAATTTTTAGCTTACTGTTATGTTCATTTCTGAAATACATAACTTAGACAGTTACCTCTGAAAACAGACCACTCTAAATGGTAATGTGGCATTTCTGTAAAGCTGCTTTGAAACAATGTGTATTGTGAAAAGCGCTAAACAAATAAATGTGAATTCAGTTTAATTGAATGCAGATAATATGATTAATATTCATGAGCACAACAGTCACTGAGCTGCTGACATTATGCTTCTACCTTATTATTTGATTGATAATGTGTATTTTCACACTACAGCACATCTACTACTACCGTGCTAGTACTTCAGAAAGTTAAAGTTGTATTTAACTAACCCCACATTTCCCCACTCACTCTTCACGCTGCTCCAGAATCAGTTGTGTTTTTGAGATGATTGTAGTGAATGTGATTTGATTTCAGTCTCAAGCTGAGCACACAGAGCATCAGATTAAACAGCAGTTTGAGAAGCTTCATCAGTTCCTCAGAGATGAAGAAGAAGCTACAATCACTGCACTGAGGGAGGAAGAGGATCAGAAGAAGCAGATGATGAAGGAGAAGCTGAAGGAGATGGACAGACACATCTCAGCTCTTTCACACACAATCAAAT